AGGGAGTCAGCTGCAATAGGAAGGTGTGTCGCACTCCTATTGGTGGAGGGTTGTTGCGTGCTAATTTGCACGCTTAACCACAGTTGAACAACGTGGATTTAGGTAACAGTTGAACACTAGTAGCAGGTGAAAATTTTACACACTAGAGAACAGTCAAATCAAAAATAGCCATAACTGTGAGAGGAGGTAAATAATTGTATAGAAATACATTTTGATGCCAAGTTTATTGGCATACAATGGTAATAACACTGTATAATTTTGAACATAACTATGCAAAAAAGGCTGTGACATGCATTTTGACCCTCTTGTACACGTAGGGTTAATGTTCATTTTGGTAGGTATGTTATTGAAGTCTTTAAAGTTAATTAAGTGAATTTAGTCAGTTAAATAACATAAGGAAATAATGTACAATTGAAATTTAGTGAATAGTATGGTTTTGTTAATAGTATAATTAATCTTCTGACATAAATTAACTCCGACTTCATCTCTCATACATAAATTTTTTGAATTTTGACAACATTCGTCAGCACTATGTAATTAATCTTCTTATACAAATTTACTGTGACTTTGTCCATTAAATACTTATTTTGTGAATTATTACTATGTTTTATTCACATTGTTAGAAATACTTTTGTATTTATCTTCTAACATAAGTTCAATCACTACTCACATTATGGCTTTTCCAAAATATGTGGAACAAAGAAGTTTTAGTATCACCATTTTAATACCTTTGTAGTACTTGATCTTCCAAGTGTTCCAATTGGAAATTTGAGTTTTCCATTCTTCAAATTCTGGCAAACTGTAGAAACTTTTTTCTTCCTTTCCCTTTACAGCCTGAGAGACAAATTTAAGATAAAAACACATAATCCCTCAACACACAAACTAAAGATAACACGTATGGATCATTTTGTTACAGTTTAACTTAAAACACCGTGCTTTTCCCCAAATTTTAGCCTTTTCACCATCAAGATTACCTCTAAATCAACAGTGGTCTCATCTGAAAGTCACTAGCTTTACTTTAAAAATATGCAACTTATGTATGAATAAAGAATTACCTATGATAGCACCTTATCGTGTTCAATAATGATTTATTCATTATTTTAGAAACAAGCATAAGGGACATAAGTAACAGCTAAAAAAATACTGGTAAACAGAAATAATGTGGATATGTTTTGAAACACCCATTAGTACTAGTATACCTAATCACATATGAAATCAACACAGGATATTATCCAATTAACTAATATACTGATGCAACCTAGAAATTAACAGAGAGAAAAATAAATAAATTAGGACTAAGTTCATTCCATACCTTAATTTTGGCTCAGTTTGTCATGATACAAGCATTGTTAAAATAATCACTTCTTTGAAAACTTCACTTTAAAGTATATTTTCAAACATTTCTATTTAATACTGATTTCATAGTAAGAGCAATATTTAACCCAAAAATACTGATGTTAATAAATTTTTTTCTCTACTCAATCTATTGAAAAACAATATGCGAGTGTTAATACCTTGACTATTGGAGTTATAAACTGTTCAAGAAAAGGTAGGTGAAGTAAACTCGGCCAATTATGATGAATGAAGTTTATAAGCAACCCTTTTATATGTGATCCATCTTGATCTTGGTCGGTCATGATCATGAGTCGACCATATCGTAAGGTACGTAAATCCTCTATGCTTTCATACTTCTTTTTGTACTGAAGACCCATGATTTTAATAATGTTGTTAATCTCAGCATTTTCCAGAATCTAAGACAAAAAAACAGTACACACTGTCATATTTCAAGTTCACGTACAAATAGTTTTAGGTGTTTCTTAACTCTCAAATAAAAGCAGAAAATAAGGATTAATTGATGACCTAGCCTTGAAATTGGTTTAATCATAGAAAATACCTTCAGCCTTTAATACTAATAACTAACAGAAAGACCACACTCTGCAGTAAAAATAAAAAAGGAAACTTTAATGAAAGTTGAACAACTACATACTGTTTTTCTTGCTTTTGACAACAGAACAGTCAAACCAAAGATATCTATATTTTACGTCAAATAAGTTGTAGCCAATATCGTGTTATGTGGAGTAACAAACACACAAGAAAATAAGATCAAGCTTACCTGCTTATGTGTTGCTTCTCTAACATTCAGCATTTTGCCTCTCAGTGGAAAAACTCCATACTTATCTCGACCAATCACACTTAGACCGGACACGGCCAAAGATTTGGCCGAATCTCCTTCAGTAAGGATGAGCGTACAGTCAATGGAATTTTTGGTACCTGCATCATTGGCATCTTCTAGCTTGGGGATCCCTTTTAGTTTGGAATGCTTTTTAGCACTACATTTTGTGTTTAGCTGTGTCTATTTTAAAAAAAAAAAGGTTTGTTATTTGTATGTACATGGGTGTACATGTGGAATGTTTTTCAAAATGTTAACAACAAATCTGAGCCTACCAGACCACAAATGGTATTCCATCTACATGAGGCAAACATACAGTATTTCCTCAAGTGTCTGGAAAAATTTATCATATATGTTGTCGTTACAAGAAATCAAATTGTGTTTGTCAAACCCAAAACTAAAAAGCACTGGACAATATACAATGATTATATTTTTGGTATATGCAGAAATGATTGCTAAATGCCATGCTTCTGACTTGTGCTCCCCAAGATATGTGAAATCTTGACAGAAAAGCTGCTGATTGTTCAGTGATTATTGCCTTTGCACAAGTCTGTTTAGTTATTTTATCACAATAACACTATGATCTAAGACCAGATTCAAAGTTATCTGTAAGTGTGAAGTAGTAAAATGCTCAATGGATTCAATTATACAAGTGGCAGAGAAACAGGCCAGAATTTTTGTTTGTGCTAATAGAAATACCAAATAGCACATCTACCAACAGACTGGGTATGTTCACTGAGCTATAGGAAGACATGTATAGCCACTGATAAAGCAGTGAAATCGGTTTGCTTTGGGGTGTTAGAAAACTACTACAACCACCGTATTCATAGAAAAAGCCTCAGCAAAAAGACTCCTTAGATGAAGCCCTACAGATCCCTATTAAAGGACCTTATTATCAATGTATATCAATACACGAGGCATGAAAATGTAGTTTATAATTCAAATTCTTATATTATTTAGGTTTAACCTTTATAATTTTAACAAGAAATATTTAAATATATTTCCAACCTGCAACTGACAGAATCACATGACTTGTTGGCACAGTAATTTTTCAGCCATTACAAGTATTCCAGATTGTTCAACCAATTAGAAACATATGCTACAGATACTGACTATGTGGAACATAAATTTTTAACCTTTTACCTTCTTGCTTTACAGATATATCACTATATTGTTCAATCCATATTGACATGACCCTCCCATACTTTCTCATGTTTAGGAAATGTTTATAATTCTCTTTGAAATTGCTACTAATTATGTTTACAACTATTAAAAAGAGCAAATTGCACATTACATAAATCGATTGATTGTTTTGTTTGAGCAGTATAAATTGATAATTTGTTATCAGAACTCAATGTGTTTGGACTAAAGACATTGCTCCCATAAGTTATGGAATTTTTTAAAATCATGTATAGGTCAGTTACAAAGTCAAATAAATTCCATTAGTTTTCATACAATCTAATATAGTGAGTGATATGTGATTTCTAAGATCCATATTTGAAAGTTACATTAATTATTTTTTGTACAACCAAACAAAAAAGTAGGCTCACAAAAAGCAGGCACTAGAGTGTAAACTGCTCTATAGCTAAGTTCTAATTTTTTTTATTCATTGTTATATATTTTCAACAAATATAAAAATTAAGAACTTAAATGAAAAAATAAATACATTTCTTCACCATCATCATGCCTTGAGAAACATACACAGACATGCATGATGTAATCCAATCTGTTTGTTTACTCCGCTATCCTGTTCCACGAAGTTACAGCTTGTCAGGGTGGTTAGACATGGTTCAAATAACAGTAAAAAGTTAATTCTTGAGATAAATAACTGAAATTATGTAATACAAGCTGCAGTCATTCAAGTAAAAAAAAATTATTTTATTCAATATTTTTCAACTTAATTCTCATCCTAAGCATAAATTACGTTTCAATTAGTCTGACTCAGTAAAGGCTGTTTAATCCAAGTGTCAAATTTTTAGTAAAAATACTTTATTAAAAAATCTGAAATTTTTGTGCACAACAGATTTGAATGTTCACTAGAAGCTCGCCAAAGTTTGTGAAAAGACTTTCCGAGATATAGGATGTATACCTTCATGGTTACACAATCAGTCAAAATGACCAAGCCCATTATCTATAGAGTTAATGCATCATAAAATGTCACAATTAGTAAAAGAAATGTACTACAAACACAATATATATATTTATCAATTTTAATATCGAGATACCATATCCATAAAAAATGTATTTAATATACTTTAAAAAAATCAAGGTAAATCAGTATAATGAAAATTAATACTAAAACTATTCTTATTCATGAATTACAGTAAAAAAATATCTTAATATTATAAACAAAATTTACATTGAAAATATTCATACCAAAATAGTTTCCCTTTCTTTAAAAGACTACTAGAACATCAACACTTTCAACATATGAAAACCTCATTAGCTAAAGGTTCCTTAATCCAAACATCTGAGTCACTGACCTAGTTCCTGTATAAGCTGCATCATATTTCAGTTTGCTTTACAAGTATCAGATTAAAGATAAAGATACTATTTCAGTTTTCCATGGAAAATATTTTATAGTGACTTTGCAAGTTAATTAATACCTGTTCATCATACACTGTTTAAAGTAACAAGTAAAGCTATACAAACTGCATATAATAGAAGTTTTGAGATGGCTTGATTGGGTAATAAAAGAACTTTATTATAAACATTGTACATTTATAATAAAGTTTTTAATTACCCAGTAAAGCAGTCTCAAAACTTTTATTTTCTAAAAAAGTGGGTTTCTCATTATCAAGTTTTACAACTGCATATAACTATATATTTAATCCTGGCAAAGATTTTCTTTGCTTAAAGTAGTAAAATGAGAGAAGATTTATACAGATAGATACTTTTTATATGGATGATGTTTTTCAATGCTTTTCATTTTTAAAAATTATGATTTATATGATTAAAAAAAAAACATGCAATGCTTACCTGAGCTTTAAATCGAACCCATGTCATAATTGATTCCACAATACCACACTTCATGACCTGCTCGTACAAGAACAGATATTCTAATAACTCAGGTAACGGTTATTACACAAGTTTAAAGATTATGTATATAGAAGATAATTACAGTTTTTGTTACTAAAACAAAGAAAATGGTAAAGTTCACATATTAAGTTTAACATGGAGGGAATCTTGTTACATATGTTAACAGTTTCTTGTACAAGTAGCATGTTTCATGGGATGTATCCAAAATTCTATCTTCCTCTATTAAAATAAAACCAACATGTGAAATGCTTTAGTTTTTGGTTATTATTCTGTTTGTTGTAATGCTTTTCTTCCTATCCATTTAGAATTTTGTTTTATGTTCCAATTCCTTTAGACAGAAAGGGTTAAAGAGTTATAAGAAAAAATGCTGCACGGTCAACATTTTCAATAATTGATCTCAAGTTTGCATGCAGGTTTTGTACGTTTGACAAAGAACAAAATACCAGAACTTTATAGGAAGGAATTATCTACTGTCCAGTTTCCCAAAAACATCATCTGCTTAAGAACTCAACCTTACTGTCCAGTTTCTCAAAAACAGAAGTACTTACTGAAGTTTATGATGGTTAAAATGGATTATCACAATTAAGCTAGACTTTTTCTAATACAGAGCAAATAAACTCAAAACACACACTTTCAGTTTTGTCATGGCAAAGAATGATATAAATATTGTAACCATCATGCAATTAAAATGTTCAAGTCCACAACCACATGTTATATGCAGGTGAAATTACTTTGCTGTACTTGCTGTAAACTGAAAATGACAAGATATTTCTTCAAACCTTATTCAATCACCAACTTATGTAAATTATTATTAGTTTCATAGGTACTTGTAAGTTAAATGGAAAGACCAAGTTAGCAAATATATAGCAGTAAATATAGTCAAAACAGTGAATGTTACATTTGACAAAAGAACATAATTGTGATATACATGTAGTACTCAATCCACTGTTCTACAAAAAATGTAGAAAACATTCAATCTTTGTTGATCCCATATGGTCTCATTGCTGACTTGGATAAGAACTATTTTATGAAATGAAAGATAGAAATAAAATTGTGTGATATATCAGCCTTTAACCTATGTCCAATGATCTCAATTCCACTGCTTTACATAGATTTTCTCTTTCATTTATTTACCATTATCTTATTTTTTAATTACTGTCTGGTATTATTTCAGTAGTCTCTAAACTGTTTAATTGATTATTTACACCTATTGCTTGACTTTGGAATCAAAACTTCCTTCCCACACTTTTGATTCATGAAATGCAACAACATTGTGCTACAGCTACTGTAGTAATGTTTAAAGTTAAATAATGTCAGGGTGGAGTCAATAACTAATCAGCAGGCATGACAATGAATGTAATAAAGAGATTCCAATACTGTCTGTCCTTGCAAGATTTTATTCACAGGGTTCTAGTGTACATATTCTGAACAATACTGTATGTGTACATACTAGTGTTAATGTAGATTTATGGATCCAGTCCTGAGAACCCCCCAAAGCTCCTTTGGCCCCCACAATGGAGATAAAATTTGAACTTGAGCCCCCAAACCCCATTTTTGAGAACTCCTCAAACCTGTTCTGAAAAAGTTTTTATAATCTATAAGATCTGTGGTCAAAGGCCCACATTTGAAAGTTCAATTAATTGTGTTAAATACTATAAGGGAAGTTCAAAACTAAATTAAATGTATACATGAATACAACTAAGATACTTAATATGTATATTATCATACCTGATTCAAAAACTTTTCACTTGGCTGACACTTTGAGCCAAAACTCTTAACTTGCAATGTCATGTTCTCTTTTGTTTGAGAGTCAAAAGTTGGATTTTCAATGAGACAATTGACAAAAATCCACATGTGGTTCTTGATCTGAAAAAAAATTCAGGTTTTCAAGAAACTGAAAGGCAAGTTATTAGAGAAGCCGAAGGACAAGCTAAAAGTTAAATAAACTTTAATCAAGTATTCAAGTTTAAAGACAAGTTGCTCAATCTTATATAAAGTACAGATGATCTTGGCATTTCCTGGGCTTACTATTAGAAGACCAATCCATGTTAGTATATAAATGTACATACATTCTCTGGTAATTTATTTTTAAAAAATCTATGTCAATTGTTTAAAGAATAAGGTTCTTATATATATATATATCATTTTTCATTTGAAAGTAATTTAAGCATTGTTTATGAAATTTAAACCATTATTTTGTAACTATATGGCAAATAAAGTAGTCATAACATAAACCTATTAGCACAAAAGCATATAAAATAGTTTTAGTTTGTTTTTAGAAAGCCCAAAAAGATTTTCAGATGTCAACAGTATCTAACAGAAACAGATTTTATAGAAAACAAAGTTTTCAAAATTGAGAACTGGTTAAAGCTCTCAAGACTCCTCCACATGATGCAATAAAAATGGAGTTCAACCAATGAACTTACAGAAATGTAAGTTAAATTTCAAACTAATCAAAATGTTGAAATCTGATTGAAAAACATAACATGTTTACAGTTAGACACACAAAATGAAAGTATAAACATTTTAGAAGTTTAATTATGAAATAAACCAGATATTAGTTAAACTATGATATCACTTCTGCAATATTTCTGAGTAAAAGATGGCTGAAACAGATTTACAGTTGTACTTATCACTAAAATTTTGAATTTAATTTGTGAGTGTGCACTGGGAGTGATGAATACTCACCAGTCAGGAAAGAGTTAGATAACAAAACATAATAAGAAACATAGGATGATTTTACCTGAAAAGGTTTAACCTGTACACCACCTTTGTTTTTCTTCTTCACTACTTCCACCAGCTTGTTCACAATCTGATCAGCAACATAATCAACATGTCTTCCACCCTGTTAAAATAATGTGACATAAATACAGATATTTTTTTTATTAAATATACTATCAACATTTAATATTATTATAGGTGCACAACAGTGGTTGACAAAGTTCAGCATTCTCAGTCAACTGAAGCTAGTCATTTTTAGATGTATACAGTTTGATAAATTGATAAAGAGAAACACCGTAATGACACTTAAATTTCAATAGTTTTAAACTGTAGCTGTGGCTGATTCTTGGAAACACTTGTAGGACTAATACAACATTTACCATAATAATATTTATATTCACAGTCATTACTACATATAGTCTAATACAGAACTTACCAAGGAAATAATAATTTAAACCTTGATCATTTTAGTGTTATAATCACTCAAATTTACTTCTGAGCCAACAGGAGACACCATTTGAAGAATTCCAGTAAACTTTCTCAGAACAAAAATGTATGGTTCAATCACAGATCCACACTTATATATACATACCAATATTTTGGGGTATTTCAAACTAAATGCTACATACATGTTAGTCTAGCCCACATGCATATCTTAGTTGGATGTAAACTTTAGTATCAAAATACACACTTGAATACTGATATGACTTCAGAAAATGCTGTTGATTATGCAAAATTGTATAATTTCACAAATACAACAAATGGTAAATTCATACTACAAAACAAGTAAAACCACTTATCTTTTTTATTAAATGAATTGTATGAAGATCACAAAATTAAGCCTAGTGTATTAAGAAAGCTACTAAATACCTCAAATATAAATGTATTTCAACAGTATTAAGTTTTTATAATATATATATATACAGCATATTCTCCATTAAACGCACTGTAAACATTTAACATTATTACAGTTGCATACTAGTGTTTCACAAAATTCAGCATCAGTGATTGACTGAAAATGACTGTTGTCTCCATTGGCTTATAATGCTAAAATTTAGGGTTTGAAATAAGTGTAATGGAAAAATCTAAACACTCAGTTTTTGTGCTAAACAAAATTACTTCCCCTTTAAGGTTAAACAGTGCAATGTCAGCAAGATTCATTATAAACAATAAGGCATTGAAGGTTTACTTATCACAGGCCTATAGTTATATTGTAGGTAAATACACTACATGACAATAAACAGTTATACAGGGTTGAGTATATTATATTAAAATATTTTTGAATATGTAAATCAGCAAGTCACTTGACAACCATAGCTAATTTAAAGCTGCAGTGAAACAGAATGTATCAGAACTACATTTGACACTGTTTGGCACTTTATAAGTAGTGCTATGCCACCAAAAATAGATTTTGTAACAGCTCTTACTATTGCAAGATATTTATTTATGCATTCAGATCAAAAAGATGTGTGCATATCAGGGACTTAGCTGCTAAATTTAATATCAAAAAGGCCTTTTGCCCAAAACCAAGGACTCAATGGGCCGACTAGAATACAACACATATAGTACTGGTTTAAGTGCTATTTATTTCATCATTTGCATGAACTAAATTAGGTAAGAGAAATGTAATTATTATTAAGTCACTTACAAATCAGAATTACAGTAAAGATTAATACACAAAATTATTTATTTTTAAAACCAATTAACATATTGTGTTGTCAACCTCTATATTACATCATCCACGACACTTCCAAAGTATGCTTCATTAAAAAAACAGCATTATGTTCCATTACAAACGTATGCTATCAAACCATACCATGTGAGATAAGTAGTTTTATCTATCATCTTGCACACACACACACATACACAAAATGTCAAAGTATATCAGGTAACATAAACATTATTAACTTCCACTAAAAACACACACTATTCAAGTAGGATGTGGTTTAAAGACAATTTTTCAACAATAAAAATACCTGAAAATTTTGACTCCACTAGAAACCAGTGAAACTGATCACAAAATTAATAACCACAAAAACAATAAATTCTTTGAAATAAGAACGCAATGAAAAAAATTAATTTTTGTGAACTTATCCATTAATCATTGTTAATTTACCACCTCACATTTTCTGATAAGACAAAATATATTAAATGAAATCTTAGTCACAGTTCGACTGTCAATTTAGAACATCAATTTCAATAAAATTTAGACAAATCTTTGTTATTAATGCAAAGCACAGAACTACTAAAGATACACTGTGATTCTTGTAAACTATTAAAACAAGCTTACCTTGGTAGTAGCAATACTATTAGCAAAGCTGACATGTTGAAAACCCCTGTCACTGAGTGTAATGGCTACTTCCCAACGTTCGTTCACATTTTCATAAACTATTTTCAATGGATTACCTTGTTCGTCTTCTTTACCTTTGACATACTGTTCTGCATAATCTTTAAAACTTTTTACCTTAAGAAACAAAAGAGAAATGTGATTTACATCAGAACAACGACTTATTTCAAGGTGCCTTCAAAAACTTAAGATTTGATTTATCAAATATTACTATTGATCAAGGACAAGTTGTAGTTACAATAATTATATGATAAAAGTCTGCCATTAAAAACTGACATTTTAAACATATAACTGTAATTCAAACAACAAATTCTCCATATAATTTTAAGACAACTTTACATGTAATACCAGTACATTTCCTGTACTATATAGTCAAGTAATAAATGAACAAGTTTTTCCTTAAGGTTATTCTCATTGAACAATTAAAGTTAACATTTTCCTAAACTGAAAATATATTTCCGACAGATATTTTTTCTCACAAATAGTTTTTCTTGACTCACACTGCCCTCTATAGACAAATATTTTTGTTTGCCACTAGCCTTGATACTCCCACCTAACCTCACGTGTATTCACTTGAGACATCTGCGATATGATGTAAATGATCATGTAGCAACCCTCCACCAATAGGAGTGCAACACAACTCCTATCACAAGCACCCTCTCTTCCATGCACCCCTTAACCCTATCACCACAGGTATCCTTTACTGCGTATTACACAATATTTTAGAGTCTTGCATTCAAAATTTTATTAAACTACTTTTTGTTTATGTTATACCAATTAGAATAGCATAAAATCTTAGCTAATAATCCATATTTTAATAGTATATAAGTTTAAGTTCTTAATTCTACAAGGTAATATTAAAACAATCCTGAATTTCCACTAGTATGACCCACGTGACACATTTTCTCTTAGCATGTCATCTTCCCTATTTTATCCACCACCCCTCTGCCAAATTTTGTGAAAATATACACACTATATTGAAAGTTAGAAGTATTAAATCTAAAAGACTTTAAACAAATACAAAGAGGTCACGTGGTCAGTACTGGAGTCCCATGTTGAGAGAGTAAATCACTTCAAGATCAGGCAGTACATACAAAACCTACATGGGAAGTGGGGAGGTTGGGTGGAAAACGTACGTAATGGAAATACATTTTCAGTTTAGGATACAATATCTTACCTTCTTTTCACAAATAATTAGAATCCCACATTGAGTCGGCAGAAGGTCCAGTGAGAAGATGCCCCCCCCCCCACTTCAGAAAGTGCCAAACGGAAAACCTTAGGGTGTGTGAATAAACAAAAGGCAACGCTTCCTTGGGAGACCACTTCTGAACCAGGTATAATCGTCACCCACGTGAAAATGTATCACAATAAGGGCAGAAACAAAGGATGGACCTCCCCCGCATCATGTGTGCACATTCAACACAATTATCACCATATCCATCATCAGGTAACATTGGGAATGTATCACCCATCACCTGATGGCATCTGGAATTGTGCACCAGCTCCATGATAGGATGAGCATCAATGCCATCTATACTGGCAGAACACCACCTCCCTACTCTCAACTGAGTAGGAGTGAGTACACTCTGGAAAAAGCCTCCATTTTGCACCACCCCAGTGGCTAGGAACTGGTAAGTGGCAAGAACTCCCACACTCTACTAGAAGAGGGGGGGGAGACAGACTAGTGGAGAGTCTGGAGGAAAGCAGCACCGTAGACAGTGTAACGGGTGACTGAGAGACGTGTACGGTCCAGAGCGAAATATCATGAGGAATATCTACAAGCAGTCTTGCAGAACACCCCATCTCAACAATGGGTGAATTTGACACACAAGTCTTACAGTGTGGATTTAAGAACAAGTCAGGCAACACTCACCACAAAACAGGATCCTAAGATGCAAAAAAGGATCACTTACCCGCTCAAAGCAACATGGTGTAACACAAAATGGTGACAAGAGGAAGATGAAACCCCCTAAAAGAGGAAACAGTTAGGTGGTGAATATAATGAGCAGTAAAGGTATGGGGAGTAGTCCACATACCAGCACTAATGATTTCCTCCAACGGATGATGGAAATGAGCAGCCAGAGATATGGTAAGATGGTAATGTGATGAATTTGATGGGAAGATACATGGAAAAAACAACTATCATCAGGAGAAAAGAATGAATAAGCTAGGTGAACCAAATGGCAAATCCAACCTGTAATTGTAATGGGAAAAAGATCATGGGACTGAAAAGGATTCCAAAGAATAAATAACTGGAAGCAGGAACCATGGAAGGAATCAGTGCACACTACATAATAGCAGAGAGACCTGACTAGGCAGAGGAAGCAATCAGGATCAGAATAGTCATAAAGGTGTGATATGGAAGGAAGGAAAATAGGCAGAATTACCCTCCTGAGCAGCCAAAGTTTTGGGCAGAAAAGAACAATTGGGAAAAAGGACCACATAGGAACTGTGAAACAAAATGCAGTGGCCATCCATGGTGAAAACATCCAAACAAAGATGTTTGCCCACCAACAGGAAGAGGAAAAGGGTCTTCTATGAGAGGTGACATAATGAAGAGGTCGACAGTGATTCAAAAGGAGGAAAGGTACAGGCATGAAGGACGTTGAGGTTCCAATCCAAGAGAGGGGCAGGGCAAGGAGGATGGGTAATGCAAAGGGAATGAAACAAAAAAAGACAGGAGTGGCAAATGTAAGCCACAAGCCAGGATAGAAAGGAAGTGATGTAGGGAAAGGTCAGATGATATGGAGGAAAACCATACAAATGAGCCAACTACAGCACATGTACCACTTTTTTTGGTACACTGCCATGAAGGAAGGAAGGATGTAATGGGAAATCATGGATGCTATATGCTGCGAAAGTCCAGCCATAGGAGGTCTTGTGTCCAAAAACAAAGATCTCTCAACCAAGTGCTCCCTTGCCTGGAGATGTGCCAAACCACTATTGAGTTGTCAGTATGCACCATCACTGATTGGCCCTGAAGGGCCAGAAGGAAGTGAACCAAAGGCTGAGAAACTGCAAGAGGCCTCAAGAGATTGACATGGAGAGAACTATGAAAGAGTCTACTGCCCCAAAACTTTCTGGAAAGAGAAGCATCTGTAATAAGATGATATTCTAGTCTAGGAGAAGGAAGAAAACACCAATAGCAGTGTTGTCTCAATCCAACCACCAGGCAAAGTCAATCTGTAAGGAAAAAAGAGAGGGGCATTCAACACTTCACTGGTGCAACAAAACCTACTGAAGGTGATGCATGTGGTCATGACCAAAAGAGAGAGAGAACCTCTTGTGTAGTGGGAGAAGGAGAAGAGGAGAGGCTGCAAACTAGAAGCTCCATAGCCCTCAAATAAAGGGGAGAAGATTGGGCCCAACTAAATAGGGAAATGAACAACACACCAAAATGAACTAGGTAGTGTGTGGAGGATAAGAGAAAAAACTTCTCCATCTTCATCAACCAACCCAAGTTGTTTCTCTTAGGAGAAACTTAGTAAGAATGGCAGAGTTAGGAAGCTAGAAGTAGCTAGTCATCCACATAATGGTGGAAACAAAGACCCTGGAAATGAAGAAGACGAGATAACACCCAGACTACCCGAAAAAATGGAAAGTCTCAATGGAAGAGTCAGGAACTGAAACACTAATCCCTGATGGACAGAACGAGGGTAAAGTCTGGAAGCAGGGGAGATGAGAATGTGTAGATCTGCATCCAACACATCAACCTAGACCTTCATCATCTACAGACCAAGTAGTACTCCACAGTGAAATGAGAGAGAACCAAAAAGTGGTTCAGAGCAGACAGATCGATGATAGGGTGCCAAACAGGCAGGAATAAAAACCCAGAGGGATCTCTCCATTTGATGGCACCTCGTGAAGCAAGTCTCGAACCACCTTCAAAAGATGCTGGCTGGCAACGAGTCCCAAGGAGGAGGGAAATGGGATGTGGAAACAAAGGAGGAGGAGAATTGAGAAGATGGCCTAGACCCTCCGAGACTACCCACAGAACCTAGGCAAAGTCGAGGAGCCTGGCCCCAACAGGCCCTAAACCCACTACGTAGTCATTGAGACCATCAGTTGCCTCAAGCTCCAATGATGAACTACAGGAATACAAGTGGTTGCAACTGGCAGGGTAAGAGAGAGGAAGGAGGAGAGCAAGACACATGAACAGGTATTGGGGGGGGGGGTTGGGATAAATGAGAAGCCAAGGATGAAAAAGAGGTATGCAATTGGTCTCACTCAACCCTGGTCTCTAAAGAGTCATGAATGCCCCCAAATACCTCCTGGCACAGAAAAAAATGCCATGCACAAATCACACACAAATTAGAGAGACAAACTAACCCAAGACAAAAAGGGTGTCCCAACACAAAAGATTCCAACAACAGATCAGTCAAATTTACAAAGCAAGAGAGGAAGAGGAGAAGGATGCAAATGTGGAAAACAGGAGATTCTAAGTATCTACCAAATATCCATCATGGGAGCGATGAACAGCCTCAGACAACAGGTGTAGGGAGGACAAGAAATGGAGAAGGGCAGACAGGGTGAGATGAATATGGTAAAACTGGGGTTGGGAAAATGAAGTATTAGTGTCTGATTCCACAAAGGGATGAAATACTCTGAACACTGCAAGCCTAAATAGGGAAAATCACAATATGTCAGAGCATGTTTGTTCAGAGTACATGCGAGTCAAGGCACACTGATACTTGAATGCAACTGTTCCCTAAAACAACTCACATGAACCCCAATATCCAGAAAGGAAGGAAACACTAAATATTGACCCAACGGCTTGTCACTAAGAAGGGCAGGAGTAGAATCATAGAAAATGGGGGATCAGGACAAAACATAACAGACCTGATTGATTAAGTGAATAAATGGACATGGGCTATGAGGCATAGGTAGGAGGGGGAAACAGGCTGTCCAGATCATTATGTTCAGGCAAACTCTTACAATGTGAATACAATAATAAAGAAGACTGCATAAAAGAAGCCAACTCTCTCTGAACCAAAGCCATTACTTCCTGAGCAGATAAAGCTTGCTCAGACACTACTGAAGTGGCTGGAAAAATCAGCTTTAGTAGCTACAGCAGCTGTGGTAGATGCCATGTGAAACTGTAAGTGCATAACCAGTGGAGTTGACTGGGGAAAAAACATTTTCTCCAAACAGAATTTGCAATAATGGAAAAATTCAAAACATTACTGTTTGAAAAAAAAATATGTGGCCAAAAAACAAACAGTAAACCTGATCAATTAAGTAAAAATTTTGTCTGAAAACACGTCCTGACAGTTATACTGCCAATCAAGAAGTGATTAAGGGCTGTAGGGAAGAGAAGATAGGAATTGTGTCATCTTATTGGTGGAGGGTTGCTGCATGATGAATTACATGATATCCTGTAGATGTCTCACGTGAATACATGTGAGGGTAGGATGGAGTACTAAGGCTAGTGGAGAGCAAACATGTGCCTACAGAGGGCAGTATAAGGCCATTTGTAAGATGCAAGATACTGTATTGGAATGGTCTTTTCATCTTGACGAAAAAACTTCGTAATTCATAGAATAGTTAACCAACCTAATATCAAGTACTTATAATTTTTTAACTGTTCATCTACTAAGAAGTCATTTTTAAATCTTTAATTTTTTATTTATAAAGAAATTTTATTGGATTAACAAGTTTTTATACTAGCAACTGACAACCTGACACTCTCATAAGCACATGGTTGTATCACAACCTACTGTAATAGGATCTTTAAAAAATACCTTTGATAGAAAGCCATCTCAATAATTTTATGATCTTAAAAAATAAAGGGGTTTTCTCTATAATACAGTAATATTTTATTCCATGTAATAATGATCCAGACAAAGATTGGGTATTTAACACAAAACGTAAAAACTATAGCTCACTTATGTTTAACATGATAAGATTACAATTCCCACATGTTTCTACAGTGACTAATGACTTTTGCTTGAATCAAGTTTTTTTTCACAAACTTTAAAAATCAATATTATAAATATAATAAAATATCATATGGTTTAATTATAAGAAACAATAATATAACTTAGTACTAAATCAGAATTGAAAATAACATTCTTACTGGTAATCTTTTTCCATTCAAATGTACTTTGACTCCTCTTGTACTGCCAGCAATATCGTAAGCCCGTCTAGATAAAAATGCAACAGTGTCATTGTCCAACATTTCCATTTTAAACTTAGCCAGGTCTGGATAAAAAGTTATTCGAGTAAAATCTTCTCCATGAAAAGGTGTTATTTTAGCATCAGTAGTTTTCATCATGTTGTCTGTCCATGTCTAAGGAAATATTATATATTTAAGAATTCAGTATATGAGGCAAAGAAGCATTTAAAAGTTCACTGTAATTATTAGAGAGATAATTCTCTGTATACAAAACCTGATATCTGAGATATCTTACCTTAAGCTCACCATTACTAGGATTATGAAATCAGCCTAGATTTATACATTTTATCTTTTGTATAAAACGAAAAATACCACTTATCTACACCTAATTTCTTTCAAACCCCTTTAATCTGTACTAAAGTTAAATTTGCTTAGGATGATAACTGTACATACTACCTACCCAGTTTACAAAATCATCTGATAATTTCAATTTTGCTACAATTAACTATTCAAATAAAAATCAACTGAAAAATTAAATACTTCAGCTCTTTGAATTATTTTCTTCACTCCCTATTTGATATTTTAAAAGCAAAAATAATTACCTCAGATTATAATGGATGTTTAAACAAAAGAATCTGATCAAAACTCTTTCAAATTATTCATTTCCATCAATAAATGGTTTGAGTAAGCTTATGTTCCAACAATAAAATAATTATTAAACAAACACGAAATGCTAAAATATTCATTGAACAATCCATTTCAGAGAATTATTAAAAGAAATGATCAAATACTGAAATAAATAACCTGCTTGAAAGATTTTCCGTACTCCTTACTTGAAGTTTCTACAACAAACTTCTTACTGAAAATGTTACACAGCTTTGCACCATATCCATTTCGACCACCTACAAAAACAGAAAAATATTTCATATTTGAATTCTGTCTCAGAAGTGCTGTACATTCTTTTTTTAGCTCAGTTTAAGGACTTCTACCTTTGCTAACTGGATAATGTGGGCATGTTTATCACAGCCACACCCTGAAAAGCACTATATCTATGCCAGTAAAAAAATGCTAAACATTACAAAAATGAATTAAAAACGATTTCTTATTTATAGTATGGAAACCATTAATAATGATAATGTTTGATTAGTATGCATTCAAAAAAATACTAAATGGGTGATTGTCAAAGAACTTCATAAAGGATAAACTATTAACTCTTTTAATCATATATAAACTCTATATCATACAGTGGTTTTTATTTGATTATAAATAATTAAATTTAGCAAAAATATTAAATCTAGATTTAAAAACATTCAACTATTATTATGCTTTACATTTGAAGTGTCCGTGCTTCAGATATGGTGGTGTATAAAAGCTATCAATTTTTATGAATGGCCAGTATAATGCCAGAAGGCTACAAAAGGTTTAAGCTTACCTAATCACAAACATTAGTTTTAATGTTTTTCTAACTCATTAATTGTGATAAGTATTGGGGAGACTGACAGACATAATAAATCTTTGTGTCTGTTGTGTGATTTCACTGGTGAAGACTTTTACAAAAATTTGATATCACATCCTGTCTTTCAGAGATTGTCAATAGTCCTCTCTAATGTTCAATATTATATTATTTATAACCAATAGAAAGCCAAGGTTTTCATCTATTACATGATGTATTATATTACGTTATTTAACCCTCTCTCCATGGGCATCTTTTTCTGTGCATGTCACAAGGTTTTTAGTGAGTTACATTCAAACTTTCAAATTAAACTACTTTATTTTTATGATATATCAATAAGCATAGTAAAAAATTGTAGCTAATAATAGCATGCCACAAGCCTTCCACTCCCACATACCCATCTATTCACATGGTTTAACTGATTCTCGCATGCAAGTTATCATGTAACAAACCTCCATCAATAGACGTGCTCCACACCCACGTGACTTCCTCTATGCTATTCTACCTAACTATTACTTTGAGTTTATGCAGAAAACCTAAGCACCGGTTGACAGTGGGGAGGAAGGGTAGGAAGTGTGAGTGCAAGTAAGTACCTGTCAGAAATATATTTTCAGTATAGGAAAATAATAACTTCCAACAAGGTATCTTACGTCCACTCACATATATAGCTAGAATCCCACATTGGAGAGGTGGAAGGACTGGTGCTCAGGAGAAAGGAAAAGCATCCGGAGAACACCCTCCTGAGGGTAACCTCTAAAAAGAGTATTATACATACAACAGATAATACATTTGATCTTGCTTAAGAACTGAATGTGGGTAAATTAGGGGATGTGCACCTACCCTGTAGAATGGCCAAGGTATGACAGACCATACACGGCAAGTCAACTGCATCCAAAACTCAACCACCAGGAACTGACATCCATGCAGAGGTAGGAAAAGGATCATACCATCAGTAAGTCAACTACAATGAAAACCTACCCACCAGGATCTGACATTCATGCAAGGGTGAGAAAGAGGATCATACCATCTTCACCTCAAGTTCGACAGCTGAGAAAGAGAAATCCCACCACTGAACTGTGAACAGGGTACATGTGAGTAGAGTGATATAACATACATATAGGTGACCAACTCAAATGAAAACAAACTGGAACCACCTCAAATGCATAAAAATACTGAAGAGTAGAACAAGACAAAAACATAGATCAACCAGTAAGTGCTCCCACTGTGACCCACAACAATGGAGTAGTGTACTCGAGGTGAACTGAGTGAGGAACCAGGGACACCCTGAAAACATGTGTGAGGACTTAGGTTGATTGGTTCAGCTCTATATACAAAACTCAACCACTGGGAATCAAAATCCATGCAGGGGTAGGATGAGGGATCCTAATCAAAGGGGTGAACAGCATTTATGCCAGCACACTATATGTATGAGTACATTATGTCAATTGGTTCAACTCTAAATCCAAAACTCAACTACCAGGAACTGACAAACATGAGGGGGTAGGATGAGGGATCTTAATCGCATGACATGTGTGAGGACATATGGTGATAGGTTTAGTTCTAAATCCAAAACTCAACCATCTAAAACTGACATCCATGTGGGGGTAGGATGAGGAATTCTAATTGCACTACATGTGTGAAGACATGACGTTGATTGGTTTAGGTCTAATTCCAAAAGTCAACAGCCAGGAACCAACATCTATGCAGGGGTAAGATGAGGGATCCTAATCATTACAATTGCTAAATCCAAAGCTACAACGTCCCCTTGGACAAACCTGTGCAGAGATGGAGCATCCATTTGGAGGGCATATTTCATCATCTACACCAGCAGAACATTACTACCCTACTCTCAAATGAATGGAGTCTTTATTATTCATATTGTATATCTCTCATTCAGGAGGATACCTCCATGGCCCACCACCCCAGCTTTTGGAACTAGAAAGTGGTAAGGACTCTCTTACTCCACTGGAATAAACAGGGTGGGGATGCAGTGGAGTCTGGAGGAACATTTCCATTGGAGACCATGCAATGGGTGACCACGAAACCCTATTTTAAAAAGCAGACCAAACCCATTTTATTCAATCAAGGGAATAGCAGGGATGGGTAGCAATCCCCTTCTGCTTTACCCATGAAGTCCATGGGTTAGTACATTCTGGACATAGTTATGAAGCAAATATATTGCAAGGAATAACCTACGAGCAATCTTGTGGAACACCCCATCCATAGTTTATATGATTATAATGAACAGTGTGCATTTTGTGGCCACAAAAATTATGAAAGTGAAGGCAGCATAGCCTTACAGTGTGGGTTTGAGTACAATTCTATGTGACTGAAGTATACTTGGACAGGCACCACTCGCCACAGAGCAGGATCCAGATTGAAACATAGGACATGCCCCTGAATATAAGAGGAATAGTATAGAGTACATCAAACGTTGATGACAAACAAATCCGACTATGATGTTCTCAGGTCAAAAGGAGAAGGAAATATGCCTTGAGGGATAAATGAAACATGGAACAAGAAGACAAAGGTTCAAATGGAGGTAAAGTAAGGCAGTGAAGCACCACTAACATCCCAATCAGGATGGATCAAATGCCATGGAGATCGATTAATCCGGAAGGAATGTAACAATAGAGATAAGGTATGGTATGTAAAAACTTTACGGTACCAGGAAAAACAAAAAAGTGTGGGATAAGGATGCCAGATAACCCGTGATCAAGGAGACCAAAAATCCCTGAACAAATAACCAAGTGAGGAAATCCATAATAAGAGGAACAGTGAGACAAGCAGGATAGAATCCACAACCCAAGGACCAATGGCAGAAAACATTCCACTTATATTGATAAACCTCCATGGAAGAAGGTCGATTGGAACATACCAACAATGAAGCTACTCGTTATGATAAACTGGATTTCCTTGCTAAGGACCAGATAAAAAACAGGCATGAAGACAAAGAGTAGGAATGGTGAGATGAACTACAGGGACAGAGGTTGCTGTAGAAGGTACTGAGTTCTGGGAAGAGGCAAAGGTGGAGCAGCTTGGATTTGGAGCAGCTGACCAGTAAGTGGCAAGCAGAAGACCTTGACATGGAGTAGAGTGAATGATAGAAATCAACGTGGAAAGGAACTGGATGGGAGGATGGATACACATAAAGGAATTTGTCTGTCCAATCCTGACTGAGCATATCTACAGCCAGAGCAAATGGATGAGGTATCGGAGACCAAAACTGGGGTAATTTGGTATTGAGGATAGTGGCAAATGCATCCAGGTGCAGAGTACCCACTCAAGTAAAATGGAAAACTTGAGGATCCAGAAACCTCCCCATTGAATAAACTCTGTCTGGATGGGAAAGATGATCTGTGATAAGGTTGAAAGCACCCGGAACAGGAGATGCAAGTAGACGAATACCATGTGTGTGGGCCCAAAAAATGAAATCCAACATTTGACAACAAAGGGAATGAGAACAGGTGCCTCCCTGGAGACTAATATACAGCAACACCGTAGAATTGTCTGGCAAGATGAAGAAAATAATCCAAAGCCCAATGGACAGCAAGAAACTCCAGGATATTGATATGTTAAAACCATTCGGTCACAGACCATAGACCTAAAGCGACTTGCTGTATGATCCATGCCACCCAGCCATGAAGCAAAGCATCTGTGAAAATATGTAAATTTGGGTGAGTGAGAGGAAGCAGAATCCTTGCCGTAGTGTGACCCCTGTCCAACCACCAATGCAGGTAATTTACAAGGAAAGGAGTAATAGGAATATCCAAGAGATCCAGTGCAAAGTTTCAATGATCATGAAGAGTCCATTGAAGAAATCTCATATGAGCATGACCCATGAGGGGCCGCCATAGAAGACCATGTTCCAAAAAGACAGTGGACCTCTTGAGCAGTAATAAAGAAAGCACTAAGGGCATTGAGGACTGCCAGTTCCATTGAATGGAGTCAAAGAGGAGAAGGTTGCACCTGACTGAGATGAGTGTTGAACAAAACATCCAAATGGATAAGATATTGGGTAGGAACAAGGAAGGACTTCTCCAACTTGATCAACCAACCAACCTGAGCTGCCCCCCAAAAAAGTGTGCTGGCCAGAGACACCAGTTCAGAATGAGCCAACAGAAGCCAGTTGTCCAGGTAATTGTGGAAGTGTAACCCTAGAGCATGCATAAGTTGGGCAAATGCCTTGACCACAAGACAAAAGACATATGGTGCCCTTGAAAGCCGGAAAAGGAGAGCATGAAATAGATAAACCACCCCGTGATGAACAAACTGAAGGTAGCGTCTCAATGGTCGAGATATAGGAATATAGAGATAAGCATTCGAGACATTAACCTTGGTCATTCATAAACAAGGAAATAAAGCCCACCGTAGGGTGAGAAAAGACTCCATGGTAAAAATGAGGTAGCACCAAGAAGCAATAGAGGCATGACAGATTGATCACAGGCCGCCAGTCTCCAGTTTTATTGGGGACCACAAACAGTCTGGAATAAAACCCTGGAGAAGGATGAACCATAGGTTTGATGGCATTCAGAAAGATATCCTGTACTGCCTTGGACAGATGCTGATATGTGGTAGGATCCTGAGGCAACAGAAAGGAAATGGGAATCTGAAACAATGGAGAAGAGGAGAGGAAGTTGATGGCAAGTTCCTCAGATAAAAACTGAAGGTCCGATAGGTCCATGATAAAGTCTCACGACAGATAAAAAAACTTGGATAAACGAGTCCCCACTGGCCCAGAATCAACAGGGTATTCACCGATACTGTTGGTGGCATAACACTCGCCTTTGAATAAAATGATGAGAAGAAGATCCATTACTGGAAGGAACAGGTAAAGGATGGGAATCAGAAATATGAGATAGTCAAAGCTCTGTGAGAAAAATGATCAACCAACAGCTGTTAGGAGTTTAAAGATATTTAGGATAAACAAATGTAGTTTCATGTTATAATCTGAAGCCATTCCAGAAAGATCAAAAAGGTAAGTTAGATTTATTTAATTTTTTTTGGTGGTTATGAAGACAGTCAAATTGACCATCCTTGTATAGAGTTAGGGTAGAGAAAATGACTGATAAAATATAAAGTTTTACTCAAAAAACAAAAAAAAACAATAGAAATTTATTTACAAGATTTTAAAGGTGAAGAAAAGTACTTTTAATCTTAATGTGGAAATCACTTAGCAATCAGAAAAGTAAAAAAGGGACTATATATATATTCACGGACAAAACTTTAACCCATTCCAGATGGGTCACAGGTCATGTCACCGGATTTGTTGATTCGCATTCAAAATTTTATTGAACTACTAATTTCTTGAATTAATGTCAATAAGTTTGGTATCAACCTGTAGATTATAATTCAAATTTTAGTATTATACATGATTCAATTTTTTAATTTAAAAGTAAATATTAAAAAAACACAGTTAAACATGGATTTTTGTGATATGTTGAATGCAGCACTGGTTTAAATTAGATGTTTGTGATGTCTATGGTTTTCTACAAATTAGGAACTCAAATTACCGATATTGGCAAGCTAGGATATAAAATATGAACCTCATATCTTTTCTGTTTGCGAAATATCACTCATACTGAATCAAACACAGTTGCCTCGCTCACCTCCTTCCATTTTTTGAAACAATCTCTTACATACAGTTACTTCAATATATGACATGTAAATAACCAATCGGAAACTCAGAATGTCCCCCTAGTGGCTTTCTTAGCCATTTTAAAGTGTTTGGATACCATCTCGTTCTTTAGAACCAAGATTTCAAGGAGGTAGGTTGTGTCTTTAGTCTGCTCGAAATTTCATATTTTTTTAGACCAAAATACATCTTAGTTACTATGCTTGACAAATTATAGAAGAATTCTATGGTATCAATATAGTGATTTATGATTTTCTTGGTTATTCAACTGTATATATAAAATCTAAAAAAAATGATTTCATTTCATATCCTCCACGTGCAAAATTGTAAACGGCTTAGCAACCTACATCAAGCAGCAACTGAGTACAAAGGTCGTAACTAGAAGAGATAATTGTTTGCTTTGCTTCTTTATCTATTGTTCTATATTTTAAGAAAAAATAAGTTTAAGAACTTATTTCTAAATAACAATAATCTATATGCATATATAATATATATAATAATTGAAATGCGACTGTATTTTACAAAATACTAGTCTACTAAAACACAGCCAAGACAGGTCACTTTGTAAAGATTAAAGGTCAGTTTTATATTATTGGTTATTAACATGAGAGCATGTGTGCCGCATCATTGTAACTTCTGTGTTGTTAGCCAGGCACAGCTGAAAGGTCAATATAATAAAAATAATAAGTATATATAAATGTATAATGTTATGAGACTTAAGCTTTAGTGTGTTATAATTTGTTGTCATTCTAGAACAAAAGATGCATAACTTTTTATGGTGGTTACAAGATCAGTCAAATCTAACAAACCATAGAGAGATTCGTTACTGAAAATAACAGATGAAATATAAAGATTTTCTTTAGAAAAGTTTGATAATTATCTGGGCATAAAGATTTCTATTGTGAAATTTCACAATTTTCTGATGCATAAAAGTATTTTTAATCTTAAAATGAAAAGTACTTTGCATGTTGGATAGGCAACATGCAAAAAGAAAAAAAGGCATGAGAAAAACATTGCTTAACAAACCTTAAGACTTAATAAAAAATTTTATATTTTGTGTTTGATAGCATTGTAATGTTTACTGATAATCTGACAAATTTTTTTAACATACGCTTACTAATTTAAAAGTTATAGCATGAAAACTGTAACAAGCACAAAATGGTTATGAGGTCAGTCCCAAGGACCTAGCCCATGCTGAAAGAGTTAATAAAAGTACTTCATTATAAAATCTGATTTTTTGTGCACAAAAGACTTGTAATATTTAATAAAAGTCTGCCAAATTTTGTGAAGATACACCCATTGTATTAAAAGTTATAGCATAGAAACTATAACAAGTATAAAGTGGTTACAAGTTTGGTCAATTTGTAGTGAGAGAGTTAATTCTGGTGGCCTTCTCAACATTTAGTTGTTAATTTGTAGATAAAGTTTGACTTTTACATATAATTTATTGGACATCATACACTTTAGAATATATAATAATGAAGTACGACTTATGTGACTGAATTTTGGAAACAACAGACGATATTTTATCTACAAGAATGTTTCAATTCAAGACAGTGGGAATAATTTGAGTTCCTTACCTCTAGGTTTACATGCTGTGACTTGTCTTATCATTAAACGTTACCTATGTACTACCACATGCTCATAAATTTCTCTTCCTCATCATTGTAGTTTTAAAATGTCACAAAGTGATTTGTCTTATAATTACACACTATCTAAATAACAATACCTGCCAATGGCCTTAGCTCATCATTATAGTTTAAAAACGTTATCAAGCGACTTATTTTATCATTATATTATCTATATAGCACCACACACCCATTACTTTCTTTTCCTCATCACAACATTTTAAAAAGTATTACCAAAAGGCTTATCCTTACATACTATACCACTACCTACACAATTTTTTTCCTCATCATTATAGTTTAAAAACATTACAGAATGACTTATAATTACACACTATCTACAACCACTACATACCTATGACTTTCTTTTCCTCATCATAGTAGCTTAAATATGTTACCAAGTGGCATATCTTATCTTTACACACTATCTATATACTACTATGTACCCGTGACTTTCTTTTCCTCATCATTGTAGTTTGAAGATGTCAGAAGATGACCAAAAATGAGGGATGGAACAAACATCTTTTCCACTTTGTGTTCAACAACAGGTATTCCTTTTCCATTATTCCAGATGCTAATCTTGTTAGCCTGCCTTCAATTTGAGAAAAAAAAAAGATAAAGAGGTACATGAGTTGAAACATAATTTAAAACAAATGTATTCTTAGCATAATGCAATATTATGTACAAACAATTAACTGCACAAAAACAACAGAAATTACATTCTTGCATGTTCTATTAGACATATTCTACAAATATTACTTTCCAACTCAATAAATAATACAAGTTAACTAGCTTGTAATACAAAATAGCAGAAAAGACAGATTAAATTTTTCATTTAAACTGGTCACTTGTTAACTTAGCCCTATTACTAAAGCAGGCCATCGTTAAAGCAAGATTACTTAGAGCAACTTTCTTAGGTTTTCTAACAAACGGAGCAGAAAAATCAACAGAACATAAGTTTTTCTTGCACAAAGCTCTCTTAAACTAATGACACTGTAGTTAACCATTCAAAAGTTATTTTATTTTTACATTTTCATTGCAATAGATACCTGTCACATATTATGAAAAAAATATTACATATATGATTTCCAGTTCTTGAAATAGCATACACATTGTACACAGATAACTTAACATATATATAAAATGTTAATAACTGACACTTCAATTGCAGTGACAGCATCAGTTTTTGTAGTTATACTTAAATGTGTCTACTACCACTCAACATTTTTGTGTAACAGATGTTCTTCTAATGTTAAGATTGTACATTGCATTTAATGTAAAATACCCAAAACATTGCTCAAGTTTTAAATACATTTTTTAAAAGGCTAGCAAGTGTACATTTATAGATCGTGGTACGAAAGTAAAAGAAAACAACTTCCATTTTCAGCAAATTTAAAAGGAACTTACGGATCTATATCAATTTTAATGCAGTCCATGTTTTTGTCTCTCTGTTTATTGTCAGCAGCATTCACTGAAAAGCAAAATTTATCTTCTATAGACTAGGTATTATATATAATCCAAGATTCACATAATCAGTCATTGACCACAACACCCTACAAAAATAGGTATTACATATAACCCAAGACATACCTACAGAATCATTAAACTAGGTATTATATGTAAATTTGAACGCTTTAGTTAATTTTGTGTTTATTACTAGCACAGTCTAATTTTACATTAAAACTACTCCAGAGTTGTGTTTGAAGAGTAATATCCTACTTTTATTATTATTGAAATAAAACTACTACTCCAATACACACAATAGTTACTGATTGTTAAAAAATAATAAATATTGATGTCTTCCATATGTTTCATCACAGTGACCCTGTTACTAATGGCAAGTTATTACTGTTTTAAACTAATATTACTTTACAGAGATTTATATACTGTTTACATACTTTAAAAAATTCCACACACTTAAATTTTTAAATATGCATAAATCTAGTTTACTTGTTCCAATTACTTGAATTGGTACAATTCTAAAAAAATGTGATTTCTCTATTTCATAATAACTTCATAAATTTCTAAACCAAATATATACATACTTAAAAGTTGTTCATAAAATAATATTATTTATTATATTATCAAATAATAATACTATTCAAAATATGTATTTTTTAATTGCATTTAATTTGACATTTCTAGTTACAGCACTGTCATCTTTAAAAAATTTACTACAACAAATAACTTTATCTTTGTACACATATGTCATATTATGCAAGTCCAAATTTTAAATTAAATTTTCCAGATATAATACACACGATTTCATACACAGACGTAAAAAAAAAGGATAAACCAAAACTCCATATCTACTAATACTTACCCAAGATTTCATCAAAAATCTTATATAAGCCTGGCACAAATGTGATTTCTTTATTCACCATCCCTGATACTTCATCATCATACACCCACATGGACTAGAAACAAGACGATGATATAATTACTTTTATGTTAGTTTCATAGATGATTGTTTTCTTATTATATAAACATATAAGCACTTTACTTACACAACTATATTTTTAGTCACTACTTTATTTGTTTCAAGAAAACAACAGTTTTACAAAAGTGCAATTGAAGTACATCTGCTCCTCACTTTTGGAATGCAAAAAAATGTCCCAGGCATTTTTTCAGTGCTGGGTGTGTGTCAATCTGATGCACCAGTTACACGGTTTATTTTGTTTTGCAAAAAAAAATATACAGGATGAGAAAGTTTCAAACTTAAAATTAACTTTTTTTACAGATTATTGAGCTTCTGCAAGTAAAACATCTTATTTTTATATGATATCTGTGTGCACTTACAGTTTTGAAATATCTTGTATTCCTGTCTTAACAACTAAAAATAAAAGAGGCAAGGCTAGGCTTAAACCAGCCGACGAAAACCCCAGATATCATGCAACATCTGAACTTTTACAACCAAAATTAATTTCTGAGTGACAGTTTCTCCAAAACATGTAAATTATTTTCTAAAATTGTAATGGCACAATTATTTTTAGGAAATTTGGGGAAAATAAAAAAACGCGGATAATCAAGGCACTTGTGTAACCCCCATTTCCTGGTACAAAAAGCAGTGAAGTTAGGTTAGGCACACCTGGCTCCTAGATATGAAAATATTTGTTGATGCCTGTCTTACACAAATTTGAAAAAGTAAATCCATGTTAATACAAGTAAAGAACAAAAAAGAACTTGCCTATTCTTCTACAGAATGGTATCTGGATACACACAAACACACATGCCATATACATAATGAGTATCAGGAAACATCTCCAAAACTCAAAACTATAGTGGAAAATTTGTGAAAAAACAAGGATCACTATTTTATGGCACAATGGAACACCAAAGGAGGGATATCTTGGACGTCTGAAATGGAAAACCAAACACACACACACTGTCTCTAAACAAGCCAGGGACCAGAGTCAAAATAAATTAGATATGAAAGAAGACTCTTCATCTTCAAAGAAACAAAACCTTGTCTGTCAAAAACCAAGTATAAGAAAAAATTGGCTTTTGACTCTAGGGAGCTAGAAAGTAATGAGAGATGAATAGATTAGTTGAAATAAGGAGATATTATGAACATGTCAAATCCAGCTTAAATGAGCAGGTATGAGAAGTCATGCAAGTGGCCCCCTTAAAACCCAAAGAATAACTGAATGAATCCAGGCAGCAAAAGTCACAAGACCACTGTTACCAAAACATAATATTTCAGCTGCTAACCTTTAGCTTTTATCATATAGAATGTATACTACACGAAAAAGCAAAGTTACATCCTGAAATGCCTTTGTAGCAGATCAATTTTTAACTTGGAACAGTTACCCGTGTGATTAAACAAGGAAAGTTCATAAGTTTGATTGCAAGATGCTATAAGATAGTTCATAACTGAAACTTAATCGATGTATTTAGAAGTCACGTGTTTAATGAAAGTGCTTGAGACTGAAAAAATATCCAAATGCATGTAAAAGTGTAAACTAGATGTACTTCTGCAGGGCCCCAAAAGTGTTCTATTTCAAGAGTAATAAATATTTTTATTTCTTGCATTTGAAGTTCATATGTCATGCTGTGTTGTAGCCTAGAGTGAATAATTCTTCTGTGATTCATGGCATGCGCATGTTTTACTAACATCAGGGCAGTACAAATTGCAATGTTAAGCATCCCTTATGTAACCTCATTTTATTGTCTACAGGCAATACACTACTGTATAATGTGTGAGTGGTTAAAACAGGTGACCCCTTTTGGGGAAATTATTTATCATCATGAGACCAGTTATAAAAGAAAAAAAAACTTTCTGAAGTCTTCTAACTTGAAATCAAGCATGATAAGATGGATATTGAAAATTTAAAGAGCTTGAAGACTGAGAATGATGTAGGAAGCTTACTTGCATCTTGATCTATCAAAAAATAGGGTTTGCACGAGTCATTCCTGGGCAAGCAAGGCAGGGTATTCTGTATAATGCACTGCTGTCAACTTTAGCACAATATAATCCAAAAATGAGTTGATAATGGGCCAACAAGAAATAAACAGTGTGAAGTATAAAAGAAAAACAAGGCTGGCATGAGACATTCTCTAAGGAGAACAGATTTTTTTATTTGTGCTGATTAGCTGAATGACCAATTACTGATTAATTAGTCATACCACCAGGGATGATTCTTGATTAATCTGCACCAATTATTAAATAATTTAATAGTAACCTCATATCCATTTCAGTACTCAGATCTGGTTTAGTATCTGCTAATACCACTAATTTTGATGAATAAAGGCTAATATTATTACACCTCCACAAATGATAGAGGGAAACATCCTTTTTCAAACTAGGATGATCACCAGTCATTGGTGTCTGTTATTTTAGATATTTATGGGATATCCCCTCTGAAAGATGTGTCATGAATAGAGAAAGTACAATACAATGCTTAACTGTCCACAAGAGACAAATAATTTATGGTACATGATATTATTCACGGATGCCATTCAAAACAAAAATAAATTGATAAATTCATTACTTTGAGAAGTAGCCTCAATTTAAAATCCCATAAGCACTATTAAAATCCAAAAGAAATGAAGAAATGATGATAGTACTAGTGAAATTCATTCATGAAATACAAATTAGATGAACTTTAGAGGCACAAAATTAACTGTGATGTACACAACTGCCTTGTTTTGTTCTTAACCTAAAGTTTGTGGTTTAAATTTTTTTTTAAATGAAATAGCACTTTTGTAGTAAGACCTTACAAACTAGCTAATACTGGATGTTACCTACAAGATTAGACTGACAAGGATTGCAGGGATAAAGCTACAGTCAAGAGAAAATTTAAATGTAACATTTCCATTACAAGTATATTTCCACAACAATGTTTGTGGGTCACAAATAAATATGAAAAGATATAAGATAGTTAAATGAAACTTTTCTTAAGCACTTTCTTAATACTAACATAAAATACCCATGCTTTGCACTGGGGTTGAAAGGCCCCTTATGGATCACAGGGGCTCCAATGCACCAATCATGCTCCATCAATTACTCCTATAGCTACCCCAAGCTACCAAACTAAAAACACTAGGACACTTGCCTATGGCACCTGAGTACATGTGTCAACTTTAGTCCCATTGGCTTGTGAGTCGAGGTATGAATACAGTTTCAAACATTGTACCCTTGAGATCCCAAGGAGGGCCAGGAACACAAAATATGATGCCAGATTTCGATTCAGTAGCCCTCAAAATCTACTCTTAGACCCCCATTGTTTAGGTGACCTTATGAGGACATTTAGCCCTTATGGTAGGGGGCTATGCCCTATAGATAAGAACAACTCTGAGCTATCCTGAGTCCACCTACCAAGTTTGATCCTGCTAGTTCCAGAACTGTGAGAGGAGTTATTTGGATTTACATAAATACAAAGCTACAAGCTGAATTAATACATAAAAGAAGAATCCCATTGTACTACATGTCAAATTACCACACTTTAGATATGTCAAGAAAAGAAACACCATCACTCAACAGCAAGAGAGGATGATGTTTCAGAATTGCCTTTGCTAGTTATTGATTTGAATAGGTCCTAGAATCAACTTTAGCCATTTTGCCATTTCCATAATCTTCTGACAGCAAACTAACTTGATGAAAAGATGACTTTTGGAGAGGGTACGTTGTTATATGTGGCTGATTTGTGTTTGAAAGGAAAGACAAATAATGCAGATTAAAACATAATACTTGTGTAACATGGCCATAGGTGTATGGTGGTCAATAACTTTGCATCGTAACTGGTAAGTGGCAAGAAAGTCCACACTCCATTAGAACAAAAATGGGGGTGAAAGTGCATTGGGGAGCTTGGAGGAGCACATCATCATAAGACACTACAACAGGTGACTATGAACACCCTATTTTTAAAAACAGGCCAGCAATAGATTTTAAACCAGGCATGGAGGATGGGCAGGGATCTCCTGCCTGCTTTACTCATGATAGTCCTTAAGTGGGTACAGTCTGAATTGGGTCTTGTTTAAGAAAATGAGCACCATGAGGATACCTCTAGCAATCTTGTGGAATACCCTATCTCATTGGTGAGCTCTATATCAGGCCTTGATGGCCCTACACTGTGCAGCTTTTGGATAAGTATACCCTGACAGGCAACAGTGAGTGGGATTCTATAAGGCATGATAGGGCCTTGTAAAAAGAAGATAAAAAGAAAAGAGAACTTACCCAGTCAAAGACAGTAAGAGGTGTGAAGAATAGTGAACAGAGGAAGCTATAGCCCAATGAAGAAAAAACAGTTGAATGATGGAGATAGTGTGTGGTAAAGATGTGTGAGGTTGTCCACATGCCAGCCTGAACAATCTCCAACATACAATGGATGTGTGCAGCCAAGGTGCTGAATTTGAAGGAAGAGGACACCTGGAAGCACTGATGTGCATCTTCAAACAAACTTTGACAAAGCCATCCAATAAGGTTAATTGGAGAAATATTGTGAGTGAAGAAGAATTCCAAGGAATGAAGAGATTGGATCGGGAACCACAAAAGAGAGAAGTGGTGGTTAAGTAGCAACTGACCACATGGAAAAGACAAAAGAGGTAGTCATGATCTGAGGGAGAATAATGATGAGAAATAGAAATGGCAGATGTAGGTGTACATGCACTGTCACCCTCATGTGTTACTGACATTCTAGGGAAAAAAGAGCAACCAGAATAGAGAAGAGCATAGGAGTGAGAAAAAACTGCATGAAGAATCAATGGCAAACATGTCAGAACATTGCCAACCACAGGTGAAAAAGAGAAAAAAAAAAGGTTTTTAGGGAGAGATTGCATAAAGAACTGGAAGCCAAAGGTTCAAAGAGAAAGGGGAGGGAAAAGGCATGGAGAACAACATTCAGGTCCCAGAAAAGCAAGAAGGATGGAGAGAACAAAGGAAGGGAAAGGAGTGGAAGAACATAGTGAGGACCAGGGA